TCTTCATCCCTTCCCGCCTTTAGACCATGCCGAGAGCACGGCGACCATCACGAGCTGACGATCGTCGTACCCCGCCGGCAAGTGCCAATCAATAGTTTACCGGATTGCCGAAAACAAGCAAGAAATATTATTTGAGTAAGAAGCTACTAGACCTCCGTACCAGAAATCTTACCCAGCCGACCCAGTCCGACCGACAGGAGCAGACGACCAATGTGGGTCGGTGAGATTGAGGACGACCCGGTCATCCGCGAGACCCTAGCAGAAAAGTTAGAAGCAGCTTTACGAGAGATTGAGAAAGCCGACGCCGCCTGCAGCCGGGAATGGGCGTTGAAATTCATCGCCAATGTCCGCCATAATGAGTTCCGTTGGTGTGATGGCCGATTGCGGGAGTTAAAACACACCCTTCTTTCGCAAGCCATTTCAGCCAAATGATTAATTATTAGAGGTCGACCCACCTTTTATCCCTTTCACCTCGCAATCCATCAATGCGCTTTAGTGTTAGCCAACTTAAATCCATTTAGTGTACTTACCTTCTTGCATGCATCTACTGTGAGTTCAAGTGAGAGCTTCGAGTTTTGTTTTGGTCTACCAGTGGAAAAAGGTTAGTTTGTGGTGGTTACTTTGAGAAATAAAGATTGTACCTCATTGTCTAGAATCATTTAAGATGTTGATTTGTCGAAGTTGTTGCTTGGAGGGTGGTGAGCAGGAGGTGGTTTTTGCATCCCTATATAGATGAAGGAGAATGTTATCGCTGCTCTGAAATTGTTGTAGCTAGGAGAGAAGGTACCTCTTATCTCAATTGCCGAGGTTCTGATGGAACCCGGTAGAGGATCCAGGTGGTTGTGAGTAGGGAGTGCTGGGGAGTGAGGGAATGGGGAGAAAGATGGCGAATGACTGGGACCGGTGGGCATGAGAGGGTCTTTTATATTCACCAAGCAGCGCCAAGGCTCCGCATCGTGCAGCAGCCGAGCCCACAGTAAGTGCAGCGGTGCAGCAGCTGAGCCGGTGGCAGGGTTGGGCTCAGCATCTAAGCTGCCATCCCGCTCAGCATTGGCTTATACCACCAGGCAACAGAATCGTCTGCAAACTCCGTAAACTAAGACCGCGAGAACACACTTAAAATCCACAACGCCTGTAAAATGCTCAGCACTGATTTTTCAACCTCTTCAGTGGCGTGCATTCTTGCAGCGCGTAGTGATCCAGAGTTATTTTCGTGGCCGGCAGTCTTCACTTGGCCTCAACCAATTTGCCTCTGGCACAATCGCTGAAAGAGCTTCCGCCGTGGAGAAATGACCACGTTTGTTTCTTGACTGTACTACTCTAACAAAGTGAAAAACCAAGCCCTCTTTCAGGAGAGACGGTAGCTGTATGATATGCGTTTTTTCAAGAGTCAGATTAGCTGAACAAGTCAGCTGATAATATTATGAACTTCGTTCGAGGTATCTGACTCGCAGTGGCAGTGTTCAGAGGACATTCAGCTGAGCTGATGATTGGCGGGGCCTGGAGAGCACCCAGAGGACAATTAAAAACACCTATTTAATGGTCTTATGAGTCATCGACTGCACCCTTCCTCTCGATCAGTCAGTAAACAACTCGACTTTCGTGCAATCCACAGTGAAGAACCACTTACTCTTGAGCATCGCAAGCAGTTCAAGCCCTTCCTTCGTCACCCGGATCTATCGTCACTTTCAAACATACCTTTCCAAAGCCCCTATTATTTCACTGTATATTCACTTGGTTTTCCTTCATTATTATGATATATTCAGATTCTACACCCAATTTTATATATAGTCACTCACTCAAGCCATATTTCATTTCTTACTGGATCAATAGTTATTTTCATTCTTAGTTTTACAGATATTTTTCTGTAGCTTTACATTACACAGTAGCTACATATGATACACTAGTATATGCCCCCAAATTTGGGGAGGCGGTTTGTTTTTGCCCCGGATGTTGGGGATTTTACTTGTTTGAAGTCCTATGGTGTAATAGCCTTACGTTTTTTTTTGTTCTTTCTTTTTTTTTTATGATTGTAAAGTCTTATGTCGGAAATGACATTGAAATGTGCAACATCGACGCCGGCGTTAGAAGCCGCATGAGAAATCAATACAAAGGCTGACAGTTTGTTTGGCCCTCTGAGGCCATTTTTTTAGTTATATGTAGATATTTACAGATTGCTTCATACTGTTGTAACCCCTTTTTGGGGTCACCATCCACTCACTAGACACTCTGACACGAGGCAGAGCTACATGTTTCCTCATTCCTTTTTCGAATCATGATCTCATGCCTCAACAGGTTATGAGCCTTCATCTCACCTTTCTATAGCAAAAACCCAGCGTAGGGCCGACCCGATCGATTTCTCTCTCATCCAACAATCAACTCGCCTTCTCTCGATTTCTCTCTCATCCATCAATCAACTCGCCTTGTCACCCAGCGTAGGGCCGACCCGATCAATTTCTTTCTCATCAATCGATTCAACTTATCACCCAGCGTAGGGCCGACCCGACAAAAATCACCATCTTCCCATCCGTGCTCGCAGACGTGTGAATAGAACGAAGGCATTAGTAAGCTAGAGTCTAGCTAACTCGAACCCGATACCTTGGTACCTAGGGGGCTGAACTCTGTCTGAGTGACAATATCACTGAAGCTACACGAGGACGTCCTCGACTTGCGACAATTATCTCTTCACCGAACCCATCCAACCACCACGTTTTTTTTTCTCTTTCTTTCTCTCTCTCCCTCTTCTTCCCGTTTCCCCTATCTTTCTACTCATCACCACCTCGTCACTACCCCGATCTCAATTTTTCTCAATTTTTCTTTCCCCTCCGTCGCTTCCTTATTCCGTTTCCCTTTTTCACTATATCCTTCATCTTTAACACCTTACTTTACTGACTATGTCAGACTCCCCTCCCCAAAACACTCGCTCGTTCCTTCCCAACGACAATCCGTGGTCCAACGAACGTTTCGGCCCGACTGCCAACATGGTCAATGCGGAAGGGGCGGCCTCATCAAGTCACCATCGATCCCGCAGCAGAGGAGTCTCATCAGCGCAGGATAGGCGAGTCCTGGAAGACGTACCTGGCGACATTCGTCGCAATGTCCCGATCTACACTGAGGACGATGTTGACAGGTTCCTTCAGGCAAATCAGTTCCACGGCAAGACAGTCGGACAAGTCGTTCAAAATCAAATCTCAAGAATGTCCTCAGCGGAGAAACTCAAACCGGATGGTTCGAACTTCAGCACGTGGGAGATGTTCATGCGTGAGCGGGTTCGTGAACTATTCAGCGATCCATTATGGTACTCGAAGGCATGCACCGATCAGTTTCAAGAGCAAGTAGGACGATCGCTGCTCCTCGCGACGGTCGACACGGCACTTGTTCGTAATCTCTTGAAGCAGAAGACATGCCGAGACATGTACCATCATCTGGCGTCTCGTTTCAACACGATTAGCCGGGCCGAACAAATGATGACTTGGCAGAAGCTGACTGCCTTCAAGTTCTCCGATTACAACAGTAGCTCGGAGGCGATGGGGACACTGATCGAGCTGTTGGACAACTTCGCGGATCTTGATCTCGATCTCACACGGGAGACAATCGGCGGACTGGTCCTTCAATCGTCTATCGAGGCAGGCTCGGAATTGAGGCGAGAAGTCGATCGCAGAGTTGAACAAGACATGTGCAGCGGCAGCAGAACGATGGCCAGGAAAGCGGTCACGCCGGATCACATCCTCAAACACATCGACATCTCTCGGAACCATATTGAGCTCA